GAGAGAGAGAGAGAGAGAGAGAGAGAGAGAGAGCGAGAGGGGTACAAGGAGTAAAAAGAATAAGCGCATGACAGAGAATGAACGAGAAAAACGACCTCCATCACCAAACAAAAACCCACCCTCGACAGCTTTTGCAAACAAGGCCCACACCAGTGACCCAAAATATTAGAATTCAGAGTAACACCCTCAAATTATTCCAACTGCCTAAAATAAGTCAATCATTCACTCAACTTACAAATGGAGCTACAATTGGCTGTTTTCTTAGAGCGATAAAATCTGTAAAAAATATAAGAAATATGACACTATAATTGCACTATATTCTATTATTGAAATAAATATATTTTTTGGGTTATTCAGCAGGGAAGACATGTCCCTACCTGTTTTTTAAGTAGACTGGGGAGTTACATTTCGAAAATGTTAATTGGGGATGTTAACATTAGGAACCTCAACCCTTTTTTTCTAAAAAAAACATGTTAAATCATTGGGGATTTGGGCATTAAAAAAAAATATATAAAAATGTGAAAAATGACTATCAGAAATTCATTAATTGCTTTAAAGCTTTTACTAGGGATATTCATGGACATAGGGAACCAATCGTAACGTAATGTTTTTTAGAAGACAGTATCAAAAGATTTATATAAGGTGTCAACCTTATAGTATAGGAATAGGGTGCACCTAAAAAACTCACTTAAATGGGTTGTTCATCATCTAGTCCTCGATATATTTGTAAAAAAAGATTTCCAATCCTAAAAAAAATACATCTTGTAATGTATTATCTAAATCGTTCATTTTAAAAAATTTAAGTGTTTATAAACCATTAGATTTAGATCCTTTTTGAAGCTTTAAATTTTGCATTTAGAGATGAAAATAGATGTTCAGAACATCATAAGAATTTCCAACACTGAAATAACGTTCTTTCAACGTTATTTTGAAGTGCATCATACTTTGATTATTTAAAGCTAAACCCTTCACGTTTTGAATTCAATGAAATTTGTTTGCCAGAAGCACTTACCTAAACGGTAGTTCTTAAATGAAAATATGTATGCCCCAACGAAACACGAGAGAAGCGTAATGCGAATTAAAACCCTTTCCGACTGTGCTCTCGAATGTTCGTTCCAGACAAGAGGTTTTGTCCTTTTCCCCCATGTTTAAAGAATAACAAGTAAGATTACAAATATTTAAAGAAATCATGAAAGTGTTTGCTCCTTTACCATTCATTTCAAGAAATCAATCGTTATACTATTTCTAATGTAGAGAATTAGTGGATGGGAGTTGATCTTTTATGCTAAAAACTCCTTTATTGTCGACTAAATGCGGCAGGGCCCCCAATTAAGTGCTCTAGATTTTAAGACAACAAATTACACGCAAATAACGTGCATTACTCCCTCCATTGGTTGTAGGCATTATTCAGAAAATTGAAATGGCGTCCAGAAAAGGGCCTGGTTTGGGTAACCAATAAATCGGTCGGTTCAACAGGCCTAATTAAGTTGATCTCATCAAAGAATAAAAATAAAAAAAATCCAAAAAAATATGAAAAAAATATTTAAAGTAATATTAGATAAAGAATTACCAAATAAAGTTGAAAAGTAGTACAAAAATAGATATTAAAAAATCTATTTGTGCCGGGGCCCATTTTGAATTTTTTTAAAAAATAAAAAAATAAGTATTTATGGCCAAAACACTTTCTAATCTTCGTCTAAATGATAAAAAAAATATTCAAATATAAATTACAAACAAATCTCTTATTTTTTAGGATATACACATTTTTTTAACTTTTTTTAAAATTCAGAGCCAAACCACCAAAACCGGTTCGTGTCCGATTCCAATTTGACCGGGGAAAGGTTTCTATATTTCCCATACAACATAGCAGATCTATGCTTCCCCTATCATCCAGCCGTCCAATTTTGATCAAGAGAGCCACTCACCGTTTGATCTTAGATCCGATGTCTCAAAGTATTTTATTTCTAGGTTTTTTTATACAAAGTGTATGAATATGAAATTTGGTACGTGCCATCTTCTCATTGGGATGCACCTATAAAAAATATTAAAAATAATTTTTCGATAAAATATAATGCTCAAAATATCTAAGGGTATTTTAGTCATTTTATTTTATTAGAAATATTTTTTTAATATTTTTCTCTAGTGGGAGTTTAATTGAGGATTGGACGTTCAAAATTTAATGTCAAATTAGTTTATTGAAAGATATTAAAAAAAAAATAGTGTCAAGATATGACAATGTGATTGGGACAATATTAGCCCTCCATTCAAAATGGAGGGTTGGATAAGGGGAAAGTATATAAGTTTGATGGTGTTGGGGGAACATAGAAAGCTTCTCCATTTGACCGGCCGAGTTTTACAAACACTTGTTGTAGATCCTTTAGGGCAATTAGAAGGGGTAGTCTAGTCATTTTGTTATAGTGGGTGGCGTCATCAATTTTCTTTCAGGGGGAGGGTAGTTTTGTTATTTGAATATGAAAAGTATACTGAGCAGTGCGCATGAGAGGTGGAGGAATGTGGGTGAAAAAAAGAAATTTTCGGTTTTCAATTTTTCCACGGCTAGCCAACACTCTCCTCTCTATATTTCTCAAGTTATCAGCAGGTTCACTGCCAGAGAAGAAGAGAGAGAAAGTTCCTGTCTTCTTTGTTAGGGAGAGAAAGTGAGCGAGCTACTGGTTTTTGACGAATACAGTGTTCAAATTTAGGGTTGTTTGGCTTTGTGTACTATTTTCATCACCGGAAAGTGGTACAGGAAAAGCAGAAGTTGTTTCCCTTTCTCTCTCTTCTGATATTTGGGAATGTCTCATAATGCTTAGCCCAAATTAGTTGAGGGAAAGCTCTGTTTCTGCAATGTGAGATTTCCTGCAAAACTTTTACGCGTTTCTGAGCCGAGAATAGAGAGAAAGCATAATTTCTGGAATTTGTTTCAGGATTCAGAGCAATTTAAGTCCTATAATACCCTAGCTAAGTTCCCATGAGAGAGAGGCATTTATTGAGAGAGAGAAGGGAATGACGCATTTATAAAGAGAGGAGAATGAGCGACAAAAGCTTGAAGCCATTAAAGCCTTTCACGAGCTTTGGAGGGTGAGTAGGAAGAGAAGGAACTCAGGTCTTATTCTTTGAGAAATCCTGGTGTTTCAATAGGCTTAGTGTCTTCTCTGAAACTGTAAGTACTTTCCGAGAGTGAGTTCTAACTGACACAGGAGGCGAGAAAAGCCCCATGGGAAAAACTCTCCCACTCCCTCTCATCCTCTATTTCTCTCTCATCCTCTCCTCCCTCCTTGCCATCGATTCCTCCAGCCAACAACCCCTAAACCCCGGCGACCTCCCCCAATTCCCACCGGAAAACACTGTTCCGGCTCTCCCGGTCCAATCCCAACCCCACACCTGCCATCTCGACCTCTCGGCCGAGCTCTTCGGCGGCGTCAAAGAGGCGTGCGCATCGTCCCCGTCTCTGGATCGCAGCCGTTGCTGCCCCGTTTTAGCAGCCTGGCTTTACGCCGCGCACGCTCGTTCCGCTCTCGTGTCACATGGGCCCTTGGATTCAAATCTCCCTGCCATGCCCGATGATTCACAGAAATGTGTTGACACCCTGCAAACCTCGCTCATTAAGAGGGATATTAGGATTCCTCAGCCTAATGAAACTTGTGATGCGGTGCTCTGTTTTTGTGGGATACGGCTTCATCAGATGAGTTCCTTGAGTTGTCCCAAAGCCTTTAATTTGACGAGTTTGGGGTCAGGATTTAGGAACGCCACGCCCACTGCGGCCGTCAAGGATTTGGAGACGAGTTGCAGGAATTCTTCTTATGATGGCTGCACCAACTGCTTGAAGGCACTCGATAAGGTTAGTAGCAGCTCTGTGTTAGTCTTCTTTTTTTTTTTTTTTCTTTTTTTTTTTTAAGTAGTTTGGTTGTTTTCCCACGGTACCCATTTTTTGAAATTGTTAAATTTTTTGAAATTGTTAATAATTTATGGTTGTGTTTGGTGAAAATGAAAACCTAGACCTAACATAGGTGGTATCACTACCATTCTCGATTATAAAGCCTCACTTGACTCAAAGAATCATAGTAATCATCTTAGTGTTATCTCAATTATTTGGAGTCGACTATATGAATCATGACTTTTTATTTTGTTTTTGTTTACGATTTTAAAATACATAATAAAATTTGGTAAAATTGGCACAACCCTTCTTACCGGGCAGTGGTAGACCCATATTTTGTTGATTCTGAAAATCAAAAGCTAAAATTCACAAAAGGTAAAACCCATAGTCAACCTTTCCCTAAAGAACAAAAAAAAAGGTTGAATGCAGTGGTTAACGTTCTAAAAGAAAATAATACTACAAGGGGGTCGAGAAGAAGAAACAATCACTACTAGCCGTCGCTCAAATTCCACAGTTTGATAGTTTGGGTACATTACAAAGTTTGAAACAATTTAATTTTTAGACTGAGCTCACCTCTCTACCCACGGACTTCAGATCCAATAGCTAAGTTTGAGTGTGATCTTTTTAAAATCATGAGTTGTACCAAAGGTCAAGTCGTCTTCATGAATACTTTTTTTTAAGTCAAGAAATTTATGTAAATGCCTTTATATTTTGTAGAATTTAAAAATGCCTTCCATCGTGTCCCACTTTCTAGTGTGGGTCTAGTATTTTAAGCTTATCTTTTCTTATTAAGTCCAATTTTTTTTTTTGTGGGCTCTCACCATTGTGCACCTTTAAAAATATAAAAATAAATAATTCAGTAAAAATAAAATGACCAAAATTTTAAATTTTTATTTATTCAAATTATTATTTTTGTATATTTACCGCTAGAGGGTAAAAAAATATTAATATCAAAATTTGAATTTAATGTGATATATAAAAAATAAATAAAATTAAAATCTTGTAAAAATAGGTACATGACACAAAATATGGATGTTAACCAAGTTTTTCCTTTCAAGACAGAAAGGAGTGAAGTGACCGCTGAAGAAAATCCTCATCATCTTCAATAAGCTCCGCAAAACAATCTTTTATCTATCGATTATTTTCGGAATTACCGTCTCGCTTTGTGCTCGTGTCTCTCGTGACCCGCGGTAATCTGAAACCGTGTATCTCGTGACCCGCGATAATGACACCCTTTTCTTCTGAACCTGTGTATGTTCACTTCGTATTTATCCTCTCTAAAGTCTCCTAGTTCGTTCATCCACCTATCCAATGGCCCTCAAAATCCTCCAATATTTTTATAAAGGAAAGTGACCTAGATGAGTTTCTAAAATTTTACCATGGAATTTCACAAAACCTTACAGCAAAAATCCTCCATATTGTTATTCAAAATAATTTTGTTTATTTATTTATGGGTGCTATTTCCAATAGTAATAGTATCAAGAAATGTGGTTTCAATACTGAAATTCTTGGTGATAGCCTTAAAATATAGTTTTATGTCTAATTATAAAATTTAAAGCTTAAACAATAGTGTAAATAAAGATTTGTGAAAACTTGAAAATCTTGAAAATTAACGGTCTAAAAATACATATAAGATGCATTATTTTCAAAGCATGAAATCATTTTTTTTTCTTGTCCATGCATCTTGATGTCGAGATGATCAATTTGAGGATATTTGAACATCAAAACAACATCATCTAATAACTTTTTGAAGTGCCCTGTAATTTGATTGTTTGAAGCCGCGGCTCTATATAAACTTTGTCTGTTATTTATTCACAGGTAAAAGGAAGTGACAGTGGGCCTAAAGAAGGCGGGGAAAGGGCCAAAAGGATGTTCAACAGAGACTGTCAATTGATGGGTCTCACATGGCTCCTCGCCCGCAACAAAACAACTTACATCCCCACCGTCTCTGCCGTCTTACGAGCCATTATGTACTCCGCACACCCACCCCACCAATCGACATGCTCCCCTGACCAAGAAAACATGCCACTAGCCGTTAACTCCCTCCAGTTCCAAATGTCCGAAGCATCCTCTGCATCCAAGCAAATTGCGTCCATGCCCCTACCCCTACTCCTGCTAATGGTGCCCCTGATCTTGTTTTCCTCTCTGATATCACTGCCACCATTGTCGGTCACATGAAAGTATTGCATGCAGAGATACCAAAATTTTTGGTGTACGGGGATTCAGATTCGCGTCGAATTGTGCTTCAAAATCTCACTTTTGTTTTGCCCACAATGTCCATGCTTTGCCAGAGAGAGATGCTTCTTTTTTCTCTCTCTTCCATTCCTCTTCTCTTTTCTCTTGCAGCTGGTTGTTACACTATCCCTCATATTAGTTTTGGAGTTCTGCTGTGTATACACACAAGGGTGCGTAGGTAAAGGTCGCGGCGTATACTATTTTTGTGTTTTTAATATTTTAGATATGCATGGCTTTTGATAGAGTAAAATACCATACTAATATTCATACAGTCGATTCCAAATAGTTGGAAAAAAAGTTTTGATGATGACGATAAAATGGTCACATGAAATTAAGTTACAAATGTCTTGATAATTGTGTAAGTTAGAGACCGGACCATTGCAGCAGCCTAAACAAAAAGGAAAAAGAAATAGCGAACCACTGGGTGTTGTTTGTATACAGTTGAGGTTCCAAACAATCGAAGTAAAACACACTTTCAAATAGTATCAAAAAATGTGGTTTCAATATTGAAAATTTTTGTGATAGCCTTAAAATATATTTTCATCTTTAATTATAAAATTTAAAGCTTAAAAATATAGTGCAGATTGAGCAGATCTATGAAAAACTTGAAAATATTGAAAATTGACGGTTCTAAAAAATGTGTTATTTCCAAAACTTGAAATCTATTTTTTTCTCATATCCATGCATTTTGATATAGAAATGATCAATTTGGGGATATTTGAGCATCAAAACAATCTTTGCATAGTGAAATTTTCTAGGTAGGCTCTAATTTGATTGTTTAGAGCCTCGGCACTATAGAAGCTTTTTCCAATATAAAAAGATGCGGTTTGTATTGGCAGCGGCTCTAAACAATCAAATTAGAGCCCACCTTCAAATAGTGCTGAGAAACATGGTTTCAATAGTGAAAATTTTATGATCGCCTTAAATTATATTTTTTAAAGCTTAAAAAATTGTGTATATCTATGAAAACTTGAAAATTTTGAAAATTGACTGTCCAAAAATGCGTTACAAGATGAACTATTTCCAAAATTTGAAATTCATTTTTTTTCTCATTTCTATGCTTCTTGATGTCGAGATGATCAATTTGATCATATTTAAGCATTAAAACAATATTTTTTAGTGAAATTTTTGAGGTAGAGCCTAGGCTCCGTATAAGCTTTTCCCATATAAAAAGGGCGCCTGTATTTTGGAAGAATTGCCGCTGTTTCTGTCAATGTTTGGGGTGAAGAGCGGAGAAATTCAAAGGGAATCAGATATTGACCAAAGTACCCTCAATTTCTAAGGATGTGATGGGTCTATTATTTGCTGACGAGTACATAGAAAAATGCAAGAGATTAGCTGTCCACTTTAAGGGGCACGTTGGTCTTTTAGAAATACAAAAATATTTGGTCCCACGAGATGGGGTATGATGAACACGATTCATACCACCTAACAAACAAATAAAATAAAAGAGAAGGCTTCCTTCTCGTGACTGAAATGGGATAAATGGTCGTAATTAATGAATTGGAAAGCCTTTTCATTTCTTAATTTGGTGAAAGTATAATTCCCATACAAGATATCAGTACTAATAACATCTAAGAATGCTATCCGATTTTGGAGGAGCATATGAAGAACCATAATAGTGCTTCAAAATTCAAGTCACAAATTACAGTATAAGCGAGGACAATACAACTGCTTCTCTCTTTAAAAATAGCGGAATTGTGCTATTTTCCAAAATTGGATAAATTGTGCTATTTTCCACCAATGGGGTGTGTGGACCGCGGACCATCTCCCTTGGTTGTCAATTATTAATGGTAAATCTCGTATGTGTATTGGTTGTAAATTATTAATGGTGAATCTCATATATATATATATATATATATATATATATATATATTAGTT